GCAAAAATCGGCAGCAGAGAGATAATTGCAGGCTTGTAGCTACAAGGTAACGATTGCGAAGCTCTATATGCCGCCCACGATACAAAATCTTTGGGTTGAAGTTTCTCCTTTGCAACAAGTTCCTGAGTATTGCTGAGCCAGTCATTCTCATCATAGCCACGTTCATCAGAAAGGGAAACACGGCATGTTATTAGCTGCTGTGGTACCTCGGGAGCATTTAAATCACCGGTGGGTAGTGCCATAGGTGTAACTTCACTGTAACTTGACGGAAGACGAGAAATGGTCTTGGAGGTTGAAGGTTTAGAAGGATCAAAGACGTCGGTGTCTCTTGGTGTTCCTAATTCGTCATTGCAAGGATGCTGTACAAGAGAAATTGCTGTACCCTGAAACGAGCTCTGGGAGCTGGTGGAACTCGGGTTGTGATCGATGTTATCAACCGCAGCAGTAGTGAATAGTTCCCCTCTAAGTTTAGAAGGACACACAACTCCTTCACGCTCATACCTCTCAATGACGCTATTTGTTATTTAGGTAGACACAGAGAGGAACCTGTCGTATGAAATACACATACCTAGGTTATAAAAGGTATCGATGAGAGACCTGTCTCTGGTGGCTCCATGAATTTTCAGAGCTGTATAAATGGGCAGCGGGCACTCTCTTTATCTTATATGGTGCGTGCTCCCAGTGGCCTCAGGTCCATCGCGAGGTCTTGAAATACTGTTAAATACAATGAGTTGTGCGATTGAAAGACAGGCCTGACTATCAGAAGGGTCAATAGTGGTGGTGGGACCTTTGATAATAATACCAACTAACGTTAGCAAGGAGACTGGAACAGCGTTTTTCTGACATTCAGATAGAAAGTTGCCGTTGAAGGAGTTTTTTACTTTCAGGATCTGTCTTCTCACAATATGTGCTGCTCTCGCCAGACACCATGCATCTGAATCCATCTTTTTAACCTTTGAAAGCATCCCACCAATTTCAGCTACTAGTTGAATTTCTCTGCCCTCTGCATGCGCCGTAAGGTCAGGAAATGCTGCTTGCACTCTCTCCCTAAGCTGTGTTGCATTCACCTTTCCACACTCAGCACCTAGCTCCTGTAATTTAGAGGTATAAAATCTCACCAAGTCTGAAAGAGTGAGTACTGCAGGCTCTTCTATTTCGAGACATTCGTCAATATAAACAAGCAGCTCTGCAAATGCAAGCTCATCCAGCTGGACTGATGTGTCGTCGGCAGGTTTTGAAGCCTTTTGTTTAAAAGGTCTGGCCTTACTATACAAGGCAACCAAGCACTTTGCATGGTACTTTGCCTCGATGGCAATTAAATCGCCAACAGACAGTTTAGCAATAAGTTTTCTCTAATTCAGAACAGCGGCACACTCTCTGACCTTTTCGTCAACATCAAGGGTCAATGCAGAATGAAGATTGCCAGAACTATCGTATTCGTCACAGAAAAGACATTGCCTTTGGGGATTATAACGTTCTACACTAGATCTCCTAGCCTTCACAGGGCTAGAGGGAGTTTCTTCTTCGACAACAACAACAACAACATTGACTTTATTTTTTAAAATTAAAGAAATAAAGGCTTTTGTAGCCCGCAGTTAGCAAAGCTATTCTAGACGGGCTACCTAAACATACACTGTATAGGCTCTCACACATACACACACACACACACACACACACACACACACACACACACACACACACACACACACACGCACACATACACGCAACAATGAAATAAATAAATAAATGAGCAAATAAAAATAAATAATAAATAATAGTAGTGATAATTATGTTAAAGGTTTTAACTGGGCCAGTCACACAAGGGAGTTTTTAACAGGTCAAAGAGAAAGCTAATCAGTTGAAATACAAATATAAGCTAGAAAGGTCAAGGTAGCGCAAGTTAACATATATCTCCTCAATTTCAAAAATTTTCAAAAGCAAGTGATTTAGCTCACGTTTAAAAGGTGCTTTCCTTAGCTTACGAATTTCAGGGGGGATGCCATTCCATATTTTCGCACCAACTCTAGAAAAGGAAAACAACTGATGATTTGTTCTCGCCTGTTTTACATAAAAGTTTCCAGCTACTGAGAAACGAGTAGAGTAGGAATGAACCTGTTCAGAGTGAGTAAAAAGTTCAGAAATATTGGGAGGAGCACAGCGATTTTTTATGTCATGTATTTCCTCTGCTGCAGCTTCAGCTAATTTTCGTTTCTTTGCACGCCCTAGCTTCGTGTTATTATACAGATCTCTACACGATTTATGCCAGGAAGCTTTGCTGTGGAGTAGCATTTGTTCGAATGCTTCGTTTTCATCTAGCGGCAACTCACAGCTAATGACATTAATTTCTAGCTTCTTGAATTCCTGGGTATTTCTAATAAAGGAAACGTAACCAGCACCAGCATCTTTTCTTTTTGAGTTTGCGGGACACTGTAAACTTTCCCTGGAGATTTTCTGGCAAATAACACATCGCTTCCAGTCTATGATTAGCTGAAAATTGAAA